CGCCTTCTTCTACTGCTTATCTTCATATGGTATCAGAGCGATATGCTCCTGGCCTGTGGGCCCCACCTCACTGCTTCCGCTGCTACTGCTACTCCCTGTCCGCCGCGCGCCCCGTGGTGCGCGGCGTCGAAATTAGGGTTTTTCAGCCCGCCGTGCGCCCCGAGGCGCGCGGCGGTTTTCTGCCCGCCATGCGCCCCGAGGCGCGCGGCGGTTTTCTGCCCGCCGTGCGCCCCGAGGCGCGCGACGGGTTTCTGCCCCGTCACTCGGCGCGTCGCCCCCAGGAGGCGCTACGACGGGCGACGGGGACCCGCGCGTCGCCCCCCGTCGCCCGTCGTGGCCTGCGCGCGGCCCGTACAGCCGGCGCGCGGCCCGTACGGGCTGCGCCAGGCCCGCGCGCGGCCCGTACGGGCTGCGCCAGGCCCGCGCGCGGCTCGGGCCGCCTGCGCGCGGTTCGGGAGGCTCTGCCAGGCCCGTGGGCGGCCCGTTCTTCGCTGCCCCTGTCCTCCCCGCTGTCCCCCGTGCTTCTGAAGGCGCCCCACCCCTCCTTCTGCCCGTTCTCCTGGATTAGGGTTTGGGGGTGGGGAGTATGGGGGTGCAGCTTCTGTGTGCCGTTCCCTGCTCCTCCTCCTCCTCCGTCTCCCTGTGCTGCAGCTGCCGCTGAGGGGGGGTGGACCTGTTGGAGCCGTCGGAGTGGTACTAAGGGAGGGTGAAGGGGGAGTGGAGCTAGGGGTGAAGCAGGGGGTGTGTGTCAGGGGGGGTGGTACTGTTTGGGGGAGGTTGAACGGAGGTTGCCGTCGTGTCGCCAGCAGCACCTGTAGTCCGGGGAGTTGCTCCGGTAGCCCAGTCGTAGCCACCTGTGCCAGTCGCCCGTGGGTCCGTTGCTCGTCTGCCGCTACTTTTAGCCGCGGGGCCAGTTACTCCAGTAGTCCGGAGCGCTGTTCCGGTAGCCGCTGTGCCAGTGTGCCTCATGTTGCCCGTGTGTCTGCAGCTTCAGCCGTCGCCTCCTATCTCCTCTCCTCTCACTGTCCCTCCTCCTCCTCACTTGCCCGTTGTGACTACCACTAGCTTTGCTCATAATTGTGAACTTTAAACTATTGCTTCCTGAACTTGTGCTCAGAATGTGTGGTGACATTGTGATCCACCCTGAGCTTGTTCTGCTTTGCTTGCTCTGCTGATTACACCCCACTTTGGCTATGGGGGTGTGTCAGAATATTATGCTCTAGCCTGTAGTGGGGTGCTCTATAGCGAGTACAACCCTTCTAGGGTTTGCTATTTGTATCCTCATTCTTGCTAGTGCAACTCCTCCTTCTTTGCCTAAACTGTTTCTTGCCTAGCTAGGGCTTTCCTAGCTATGGCGCCTTCTTCTACTGCTTATCTTCACAGTTGGGCTGAGAAAAGCCCTTAGGATCTTTTCAAGGCTAAGACCCTGAATAGGAAAGTTGTAGCTGCGGAAGCGTTCTTAGTAAACTTGTTGAACCAACTTGCACTAGTGTGTGAGAGCAAGATATTGAGTATAGCAAGGTAATACAAAGGGATTTGATAAGATTACAATAAATATGAAAGGGTGCAACTAACTGTTTTGCTGTTGCGGTTCGATACAGTGACGACTCGGGCAACTGCTCAATATCGAGTCAGTTGTTTGTCCTTGCTGTCGCGCTGTATTTCGTCGAGTCAAGGGTCGCTGATCTTTGACCTTCGCGTAACCTCCAGCTGTTACTTTATGTCAACCTCCTCGGTTGACTCGCCGTTGCTCCACTGTGATTCACCTCGTTTGCAGTCTATTGTTTCAACACAACAGGAGCGTTAAATTACTTGTTTCCAACAGTCACAACGTACACACGCGCGTGCGTCATGCATGGTATTATTCAGGTCGGTAATAGCTGAGGCTGTTGCATCCGAGTCCGACCATTTGGTAAGGAAATGAAACAATAATGCTCTATTTGCACGGACTTCGTCTCTTTCGGAAACTGGTCGTAAAACTAATTTAAGATGGGCCGGGGTTCACTATCAATTTTCCATGCCGCTTCATAAGAGGTATAGAAGTTATCAACTGGCATGCGGGGTAGGCTACACGTCACCAACATTAGTACAAGGCTGAAGCGAATGCTGTGTATGTATGTGTGTATGCGCACATATGTGTGTCAGAAGTAGCAGTACAAAGTTTAGAAACAGAAAGAGTGGTTTCACTAGCAGCAGTTGAGATACATTTAGCAAACCCTAACTGGGTTGTACCCGCTATAGAGCACCCCACTACAGGCTAGATAATAACATTCTGACACACCCCCATAGCCAAAGTGGGGTGTAATCAGCACAATGAGCAGGCATAGCAGGAGTTCACAATAATAAGCAAAGCTAGAGGTAATCACAGCGGGCAAGTGAGGAGGAGGAGGAACTGTGGAAGGAGAGAAGATGGGAGGCAACGACTGAAGCTGCAGAGGCACGGGCACAGGAGCGGCTGACTCAGTGGCTACCGAAGCAAGGGCGACGGACTACTGGAGTGACTGGCTCCGCGGCTAAGGCGAGCGGCAGGAGCAACGGACCCACTGGCGACTGGTGCAACAGGCTCACTGGCTACCGAAGCAAGGGCGACGGACTACAGGCGCTGCAGGCGACACGACAGCTATCTCCACACAACCTCCTCCAACTGACCCACACCCTTGACACACACCCCCTGCTGAACCCCTAACTCCACTCCCACGTCACCCCCCTAGCGCCATTCCCCTCGGCTCCCACACCTCCACCCCCCTCAGCAGCAGCTGCAGCAGTGGGAGACGAACAAGGAGGTGGGGAGAGGGAAGGGGAGTACCCACACCGCGCACCCCCATGCTCGCCACCCCACACCCCCCACCACCGCGGAACGCACGGCGGCACGGGAGGAATGGGCAGCACGGAGGGGGGACGGTGCAGGAGGGGCCGCGCGTCTCTCCTCAGGGCGCCAAAACGGACGGGCGGGGGGGCGCGCGCGGCTCCCCAGGGCGCCGCGACGGACGGGCGGGGGGCGCGCGCAGCTCCCCAGGGCGCCGCGACAAGAAGGGCGGGGGCCGCGCGTGCTCCCCAGGGCGCCGCGACGAGCAGGGCGGGGGCCGCGCGCGGGTCCCCAAGGCCGCGCGACGGGCAGACGGGCCGCGCGCGGCCTGCAAGCCCGCGCACGGCCGGCAGGGCGACGCGACGGGAAGGGCGGGGGGCTGCGCGCGGGTCCCCCACGGTAGGAAACCGCCGCGCGCCTCGGGGCGCACGGCGGGCAGAAAACCGCGCGCCCCGAGCGCACGGCGGACAGAAAACCCTAAAAAAAAATTCGCGGCAGGAAGAAGGCGTCGCACGCCACGGGGCGTGCAACAGACAGAATAGCAGCGGAAGAAGTTAGGTGGTGGGCCCACCCACAGGATCGACCCAAGGGGATCAACCTGCTCTGAAACCATGTCAGAAGTAGCAGTACAAAGTTTAGAAACAGAAAGAGTGGTTTCACTAGCAGCAGTTGGGATACATATAGCAAACCCTAACTGGGTTGTATCCGCTATAGAGCACCCCATTACAGGCTAGATAATAACATTTTGACAATGTGTGTATGTGCGTATGTGTGTTTATGTGTGTGTGTGCACGCGCGTGCGTCCGTGTGTGTATGTGCGTGTGTGTGCGCGCGCATGCGTGTGTGTGTGTGTGTGCGCGTGTGTGTGTTTTGTGTATGTGTGTGTGTGTGTGTGTGTGTCTTGTTGTTGTTTGTTAGTTTTATATTTCCTTTTTCTTCATCATTGTTTCATGTAGCATGGGAAGTTTGCAAGTCATTTGAACGATTGTTCTTCAGGATTGTAGCTATGTGCATGAAAATCCTGGCAGGGTGACCAAAGCGCACACCTGCAATTGGTTCTAGATTCTGCCCGAAATAGTTACCCCATTGACACAAGCTTATTTCATCCAATGAGTGCCAGGAATTTGTGGGAAACGGTTCGCTTAAATTCGTTGTTCTGTCCACGACCCGCTTAAATCCGTTTGGCTGCTGCTTCTGCTTGTTTTCCCCCTCCCCGATTTTTCCAGGTCACATACAGCGCCGATCTGCTCCTCGCGCCCTGCTTTCGTCCGCTTTCCGCCGAACCACCACTCCACGGTTTTTCCTCTTGCTACGCCCTGCTCGATCTCCCTCCCAACTCCCTTCCCGATTCTTCGACTTCCGCATTTTCGGAACTTTGTCACGTCAATCTCTCCCCCGTCTCGTTTTCGCTCCTCTGATTCGTGCCCATTTCTATCCCGCTGCTCGTCCACCTGTCGGAACTTCCAGACGCTTCCGTCACCATTCGCTGCGCTTCCGCCTCGCCCACTGACCCACGTCATCACTTCTTTTTTTTGTACCCAGGTCACCCTGAGCCCGACTCAATCTTTTCCTTCTGCTGTGAGCTGTTGCGTCCCTACCTCCCCACCTCTTGCCAGATGGCAGGACGTGGAACCCGCCGCCACTCTCCCAACCACCCGCTCTCCATCGTGCTACTTTTCACTCCTTACCCGCCTTCCGCCTTTCGCCGTGCCCCCCCTCTCCGCTCTGATTTCACGAGAGAGCGGCTGGTTTTGATGTGCTTGTGCCCCCCCTTTTGTACAATCCCCTCCCTCCCTTGCCCTCGACGCTCCTCTGTGCTTTCGCCCCCTTCTCCTTTCACAATTCCTTTTGCCTCCTGCTCTGGAATCTTCTACCCACCTGACTCGGATTGCCGCCTAGGCTCCAAGTCTCTTATTTGGGGAATCTATGGCCGCTGCCTATGCCCCCTTGCCATCGAGAATGGCTCGCGCTTGCCTAACCACTCCTGGACTTCCATTCTAGCTTCTAGAAGCTACGGTGCTGCCCCCACTCGCTGTGGCCTCCCACCTTTCGGGCCTTGCTCTTCCCCATTACCCCGCCCCAGACACCCCCATATCTGCCGAGTCGCCCCACCCCTGAGTTGGGAAGTTAAATACGCACGCCTCTTTGACATCCTTCCTCCAGTTTTATTCCCGCCCCCCTCAATCCGTCCCTCATGGCCCCCCCGACTCACAATCCGGACGACGAAATGTCCCTCGTTGACGAGGACCTCCAGCTCGACGGTGAGGAGCTCCATCTCGACGAGCTCCCTACCATCACTCTTGCTCCCTCTCCCGCAGCTGACGAGACCCGGCGGCAAAAAAGGTCTGCGTGGGGGCCCCTCCGTCTGCGCCTGGCCCCTCGGCACCAGCTAACAATGTCCCTGTGGTTTTTGCTCCCGCCCCGACCGGCAGCGCGTCTGGCTCCCCTGCGGGCGTCCGTTTCTCTGCAATCGCTGCTCCTTCTACGCCCTCTGTTCTGAACAGGCCCCCCAGCCCGACTGCCCCCCTGGCTAGCGCCTCTCAGGGAGCTGGCATCGTCTTGACGGCCCACGCTCCTGCTCCCGCGCCCACCCGCAACCTGCGTCGTCCGAGGCCCGGCCCTGTCATGCCCCGCCGCCGCCTTGCAGTTGTCTCGCTGCTCATGCCCGAGGCGGGCGCTGACGCCATCCGCGCCGACCTCATCGCCCGTATCACCGCCATGCTGAAGCCGCACTTTTTCCGCCGCGGTTCTGTCCCGGAGTTTGAAGTTGCCACCGGCAAGGCGCTCCGGGTCCCGCGCCGTGCCTACGCACGGCTCTGCTTCTCTTGGCCGACGGAGGAGGAGGCCGAGGACTTTAAGCGACTCTTACCCCGCTCCATCTCTCTGAATTCCTCCCGCTCTGTGCTTCTGAAGGTGTTTGAGGACCGTAACCCGGGCTTCACAGCTGCCAAAGCCGGGGGAGCTGCCACGCTGTCGCTCCGTAACATTCCCCCGGGGTACACCCCGGAGGATGTCCGCGATTTTCTGCTGAACGGTGCGGATCCGTCCGAACCGGGCTGGCTCGCGGATCTTCAGTTCTTTCACCGCACGACCGATCCGTACGAGGAGGTGTTCCTGCCCGTTTTCACCGGCATCCCTCTCCCCCTCCCGGATGACCCGTCGTTCTCCCGCATCCCGGCGGTCATCCCGTTTGAGGACGGCTCCCCTCCTGCCCTGCTCAATGTTTCCACCCACGTGTGTGCCTTCTGCGGGAACAAGCATCGTGACTCCGATCACGAGACGTTCGCTTTCAAGCGCGAGCAGCGCCTGAACAACAAGGCTCATATCTCTGTTGCTCAGTTGCAGCAGACCAACGGTACGCCCTTCTGCCCTGCCCTCCCTTTCCCCTTTTCGCCCACTCACCTGCTTGTTTGCTGCTGCCCCCCGCTCTCTGTCTCTCTCGCCTCCAGTCTTGCAATCGTTTCTTTTCCCCTGGCCACTTTGCTCTGCTCTGCGATCGACATGCTCCGTCCTTTCGACCCCCTCCTTGCTATCTTCTGCCCCTGTACTGCTCCCCCTTGCCCCCTCCCCCCCTTTCCCCCCTTGCTCTCGAGGACTTCCATCCCCTGGTCTCTGCTGGCCTTTCCCCTGTGTCCCCCGTTGCGAACCTCTCCAGCCCATTCTCCCCTCCCCTTACATCCCCCCCCCTTTCATCGCCTTCCACCGCGTTGATGCTGCAGATTTCCAACTCTCAGCCCCCCCTCCCATGTACTCGCCTTCCCGTGCTCTCCCACCATGGGATCCATCCACAAGCCCCTTCTGTACAACCCCCCTCTGCCCCCTCCCGGGCCGCCCCCCCTGTACCTCACTGCCTTACGCTTACATGGCTTCACTGTCTCACCCTCCTTGCGCCCTTCCTCCCTCGATTTGCCTCTTCGCTGCCTCCCCTTTCCCGCCCCGTTCTCCTTGCACTTCCCCCATGGGCCTGCCCCCTCGCTTTACACCCGCAACTCCAGCCCCTCTCTGCCTCCCTCGCTCGTGATCACCTTCTGGCCTCTGGATTTGGCATGCTTTCCTCCTGTGCCCCCCACTGCCCTCTCCTCCCATGCCTCCCCTTCCCCCCCCCCTCTTCGCAATCAGGCTGCCTCTGACTCCTCAACCGCGGCCCTCCCTGACAGGCCTCTCTTTCCACACTCCCCCAATACGCCCCTGCCCCGGCCCACAGCTCCCCTCTGTCACCTATGCCCGCGCCTCTCCCTCACACAGGGCACCCCCGCCCTTTTGCTTTGGCTTAACTCACTTCTGTTCCCCCTCCGGGTCTGTCCCGTTTTCCTCCCCCCCTGCTTTCCCCATGGCGGCCTTCTGGCCGCCCATGCTTCGGCCCATGGCCACTCTTACCTTCATCGGCAGAACTTCAGTCCCCTCTGCCTCCCCCCATTCTCTCTTTCTCCCCCTTGTTCCCCCCCCGCCATCTCGCCTGCTCCCCATCCATACCGCCCCTCCTCTTCCCAGGTCAACTGCTCGGGGCACGCCCGGCTGCCAACGAATTCCGCAAGGACCCTGGCCTCTTGTTTATCGGGCTCGAAACCGAGATCGAGCCCTGGACCTGCGTCCTCTGCAACTTCGCATGCGTCCCTGCCCTCGACTCTGCCATGGTGCACATGGCCTCCGAGGCGCACACCTCCAACCTGCGCGCAGCTGCCAAGGGCCCTGCTGCGAAGGAAAAGTACAGCAACTGGAGGGCCCTTACGTTCCTGGATATCCCCCAGATCGGTTCATTCCTCTCCCAGTGACTTCAAACCGCTTATGTGTTCTTGCCTCATGCCCCGTCGATTATCAACCATGCCATAGAAAGGTTCCTGCTATGTACTTTCAAGTTTGTCTAATATATCTGCCAGGAACTTTTCATCACACGTGCCACCTTGCCCATTCTTGTTTTAGTGCTTCGCTTGCTATGAATGCTAAGCTACAGTGGCTGCACTCTCTCCCGCCCCACCTACTGAGCATCTCAATAAAAACAATCACTCTATCACCATTGTTGGTGCAACCCTACGGTTTGCACTCGGCTTGTTGTCCGTGTGCGTGAATGCGTGTGTGCATGGAATGGTATGAGGGCATGGGATAATATATATTTCATGCTTATAATAGTGTGTGAATGATGGGTCATGATGTCGAGTGTGTGTGTCAAGTCAATAGCGAATTATCGCTAGTCGCGTGTAACGTGGTCATTTTGTGTGTCCCACGCGGTTTCTATTTTGTCGTGCGCGGTTTCTATTTTGTCGCTTGTCGAACGTTCGGCATGTCGCAGGTGTGTGCAGCAGACCCATCAAGAACTCGAGGATGAGTTTTTGATGAAGAACCCGAGCCTTGGTTGCAAGCTTCAAGTGATTTCGAAGCTCGCCAAAAGGGTACACCTCAAGATATTGAAGATAGTTAGATTACTTTGTGTAGTGTAACATTTCAGTTGGTGTAGGCCCTTGTGAAGGGTAGTTTCGAGACCCTTCTTGGTTGGGGACAGTGTGGCACTGTTACACATCACTGTACCTCGGCTCTTGGGGTTTGTAGGAGCTGGGAGTCATTCCCAACTCGTAACTCTTCCTAACTCTTCCTATTGTGTGTTCTAAGACTATGTTGCTTCCATAGTGCCGTTAGTTCAAACCGACGCTGTGTCGTCAATTCTTGATAAAATCGTGCGATCTAAATAGCCTATTGTAGACAACATTAAGGCGCTCCAGATCCAAGTTGAATGAAGTCATTTGGAGTTGTGAGCAGATCGCTATGACCGTTTAAAGCCGCTGTGCAGAAATCCGACTGTGCACTCTATCTTTCGTTTTAGGCACATTGGAGCCTACTGTGTCTATAACAAGTGGTATCAGAGCCCCTTGGAGCAGTTTCGACAATTGCTGGACCTGAGGAAAGGGGTGGCAGAGGTGCTGGTGGCATTGGAGAAGCCCAAGCTCAAGGCCAACCCCGTGACTCAGCCATGGCGCCCGTGCAACCAAGTGTTGGCCCATCTAGGGACGAGCCTAGAGTGTTTGGCCTTGACAAGTTCAACGGTGACAACTTTGCTGAGTGGTCCTTCAAAATGGAGAACGTATTTGACCACTACGACCTGCTGGAGGTGATGGAAGGAACGGAGAACCGCCCCGAGAACGACCCGGAGAAGAGCCCGTGGGTGCGGAAGAGCGCACAAGGCTACCTCCTACTTGGGCAAGCGTTGGGGAACAGCCAGATCCGTCACATCAAGCCATTCCAGCGTGATCCAGAGAAGGGACCAAAGGCATGGGCTGCTCTCAAGGGTGTACACGCTCCTGCAACAGCGGCGGTAGCTGTGGTGTTGGAACGGCAAATGGCGACGCTACGAATTGAAAAAGATGAACCCGTGGAAGAAGGGGTGCAGAAATTCTTCGACTTGTTGACGCGGCTTGAGGGAGCTGATTTGAACTATAGTGAGCTCCAAAAGAAGACCAAGTTGCTGGCCCTAATCCCCGAGTCATGGTCCTCGCTCATCATCAACCTGAATCGCGACTTGCCCCGCCTCTCGCTTGAAGACGTGAAGCGAGCTATCCTTCAAGAGGACTTCCGCCGCCGTGAGTTGGCGAGTGCGGATGGCGATGGGGCAGCGAGCGTCGGCCGTGGATATGGCCGAGGAAGAGGCAGAGGACGAGGGGGAGGAAGGTTTGGTGGCAGCAACTTCGGCGGAGGCCGCGGGAATGGCGGTTACGGCAGCGACGACAAGAGCTACGGTCGCGGACGCGGACGATTTGACGGCGAATGTCACTATTGCGGCAAGAGCGGACATATGTGGCGCGATTGCTTCAAACTCCCTGATGGTTGGACCCCTGCTCAAGGCCAAGAGGGTAGAGGAGCAGGAGGAGGGAGAGGAAGAGGCCGTGGAGGCCGTGGCGGTCGCGGAGGTGGTGCTGCAAATGTGAAGAGCGAAGATAACGACAAGGACCCGAGCGGCGATCGGTACCCGGGCCTATTCTACTTCGTGTCGACGCAAGTACCGGCTGGTCCAGAGAAGGACGAAGGCTTTGAGGAGCCAGCAGCAGTAGGGAAGGTGACCCTACACCCCCTGGACTATTGGGTGATCGACAGCGGCACTACCTACAGCATGACACCTCGCCCGGACTTGCTCACCGAACTTGAACCGTCACCGGTGAAGCATGTCACATCGGCTTTGGGGCAGCGAGCAGAGGTGAAAGGCATGGGGAAGGCCATGTTCAAGGGTGCTGATGGGAAGATGGTGGACCTCAAGAACGTGCTTTGGGTGCCCAGCCTTGCTGCAAACCTGATTTCCGTGCGGCGGTTGGCAAAGGCCGGCATGGACACGAACTCGAAGGGAGCCAAGACCTACACCGCGAGGCTTGGCGAGCGGATTCTTTGGAACCTCCATGAGGACAGGGATGTCTACAACGAGATGTGGCAGATCCCTGTGGTCCCTATGCCTAAGGAGAGGCAAGTGGCAGCAAGCGTCAGCACCAAGGGTGAAGCGGTTGGTAGCGGCGATGGCGCGAACGGTCGCGCTAAGGAGAATGAGCCCGAGAAGGGCAAACCTGGAGGGACCAGCAAGCTGAGTGAACCTAAGGAGAGTGGTGCAGCAGCCAAGGAGCAGCACAAGGGTGAGGAGAACCCCGAGGCAGCAGCGGAGGAGTACGGAGAGAGCATGTGGGGCGCTATTGCGAGCGCGGCATTCTCTAATCCGACTTCGGCTACGGGGGAGTGTGATTGGCTCACCTTGCATCGGCGAATGGGGCATGTGGCCCTACCCATCTTGCAGCAGCTAGTGAAGAACCAGATGGTTGCTGGCATACGTGTGAAGGGGGAGCCCGATGAGGTGCTTGGCTGCCCGACGTGCATGCAAGCCAAGTTCACCCGTTTCCCGTTCTCTAGTTCGGAGGCAACGGCAAAGGCACCACTTGATGAGGTGGTGATGGACGTGGTGGGCCCCCTGAAGCTTGGAGCTGCTGGTGCAGAGTATTTCCTCACCATAGTGGATGTCTACACCCGCATGACGTGGGTGTACGTGCTGGCCAAGAAGAGTGACGTGGCTGAAACGTTGAAGACGGATTGGTTCCCGATGGTGGAGCGGCAACAAGACCGTCTAGTCAAGTCAATTCGCACCGATCGAGGGGGAGAGTTCCTGAGCAAAGAGTTTGGGTTGTGGCTGAAGAAGAATGGCATTTGGCACTCCCTCACTATGCCATACTCCCCTGCAATGAACGGCATCGCCGAGCGAGCGAACCGGACGATTACGGAGGCAGCACGCGGGTTGCTCATTGAAGTTGGGCTACCCGATTACTTCTGGCCTAATGCGGTGCGGAGCGCGTGTGTGGCCAAGAACAGAGTTTTGACTCATGTGGGAGCAGACAAATGGGTGCCCTATGTGGAGTGGCTTGGAAGGAAGCCAAAGGTGGATATGCTTCGGGTGTTTGGGTGCATGTGCATGGCGCTCATGCCTAAGCATCTTCGGCACAACAAACTTGGTGCCAAGGCGGTGTGGGCCGTGCACTTGGGCATGGCTCAAAACAGCAAGGGGTGGCTTCTTTGGGACCCATTCACCAAGAATTTCATGGTGAGCAGGGACTGCAAGTTCATGGAGAACTTCATGTACAAGGATTGGAAGGCGGAGAATGAGGCGAAGATAGGCGTGCAGTTTGGGGAGGTGAAGAGTTCCGTGTTGGAGCATGTGGAGCTGCCTTTGGAGCTGAGCAGCGGCAGCACCACCACAAGGCAATCCTCCCTTGTGAATGGGGGAGAGGAGGCCAGGGATTCAGAGGAAGAAGAGGAGGAGGTGCAGCAAGTGAGCGAGCGTGCACCGACACTTCCTTCCCGCACTACGAGCACTCCACGGAACCGAGCCACACCGCAGCAACGCCAAGGCCTTCAAGTCCCTGCAGCTGAGGAGGAAGGAAGGGGGAAGAGGAGAGTTCAACCCCCTAATCGGCTGACCTATGATGCGCCGGGAAAGCAGGGCAAGACAGCCCTGGCCGGAGCGGCAATGATGGTCGAAGACGACGAGGAGAGTGACTACGAGGAGTGTGCCTTCGCCTTCTTCTCTCCGGTGCCGGGAGAACCAGCAACGGAGGCCTTGGAGAGTAGTGATGCTGAGGAGCGGAAGAAGGCAATGGAGAGTGAGCTGAAGAGCATCGAGGAGAACGACACGTTTGAGTTGGTGGAGCTACCGGAGGGGCGTAAGGCGATTACGTCCAAGTGGCTCTTCAAAATCAAGTCGGATGCCGACAGCAAGATCGAGCGCTACAAGTCTAGGCTTGTAGCCAAGGGGTACCAGCAGAAGGAGAAGGTGGACTTCAAGGAGCTGTTTGCTCCTGTGGTGAAGCCGACGACGCTGCAAACCCTATTCACGGGAGCCGCCATCAAAGGATGGGTGGTAAAGCAAATGGACATCGTAACGGCATTCCTTAATGGCATCCTTGAGGAGGAGATTTTTATGGCGCAGCCAGAGGGGTTTGACGATGGCAGCGGCAGAGTGTGGAAGCTGAAGAAGGCCCTCTATGGGCTGAAGCAGGCCCCTAGGCAATGGTATATGAAGCTGCGCGAAGTGTTGGAGGGGATCGGCTTCACTCCCTCAACGGCCGATCACTCCTTGTTCATGCTTGGCGAGGGGGAGCAGAGGAGCTTCATGGTGGTATACGTGGACGACATCCTGATCTTCTCCCCCTCCTTTGACCTTGTGAAGGAGGTGATGCTGAAACTTCAAGACAAGTTCAAGTGCAAGTCCCTTGGGGACGTCAACTTCTACCTCGGGCTCCACGTCGAACGTGACGTG